AAGTTGGAGTTTCAAACTCCAATTCCTCCCACCAAGTTGAAAACATGGGGAGAAAGCACGTATCGTCCTTTGCCCTGATACTTCCCCTCCTTGCCAGCACTGTAGATGCGGCATCAGACCCCGCCCGGCCGCGGGGTGTGGCTCCGGAGTGTATGTTGCACCCAAGGAAGCTCATAGACAGCTGCAATGGACGGAGCTCTGCATGCTGACGGCCAATGTCTAGTTGCAAAGTACTACAAGGACGCCGAGACATTTACTTGTATCTCGAATCCTGCTATCAAGCTCCCCATTGCCCGTCTGAACGACGACTACTGCGACTGTCCCGATGGCTCTGATGAGCCGGGCACCGCGGCCTGCTCCTATCTCTCACCCCTGTCACCACCTCAGCCGCTGATTGTCGAGGGTAAAGACGTCAACATGACGCCTGCCCTTCCAGGCTTTTACTGCAAGAACAAAGGCCACCAGCCCAGCTACATTCCCTTTACGAGCGTCAACGACGGTGCCTGCGATTATGAGTTTTGCTGCGACGGGAGCGATGAATACGAACACGTCGGCGGTATCAAATGCGAAGACCGGTGTGCGACCATTGGCAAGGAGTGGAGGAAGGCGAACGAGGCGAGACAAATGAGCCTCGCTGCTGCTAAACAGCGGCGGAAGGAGCTAGTGGCCGAGGCGGGACGCCTGCGCAAGGAGGTCGAGGACCGCATCCAGACACTCAAGGCTCAAATTGAAGGCGCGACACTAAAGGTTGACGGGCTGACAAAGAGTCTAGCTGAGATTGAGAGAGCGGAGCGTGGCAAGGTAGTCAAGGGCGCTGGCAAGGGCGGCAAGGCCACTATACTGGCGAGTCTGGCAAAACAGCGCATCCAGGAGCTTACTGATAATATCAACCGCCTGCGCAATGAGAGGGACTCTGCACAAGCAAGGGTTGTCGATCTTGAGGGTATGCTGACCCGCTTCAAGGAGGAGTACAATCCCAACTTCAACGACGAGGGTGTGAAGCGTGCAGTCCAGGCGTGGGAGAACTATGCTGCACAAGATCGTCCAGGACCCAATGACGCTTTGGACCGAGACCTCGATGATATTCTCAAGCCAGACTCTGAGAATGCTATCAATTGGGACGACTTTGAGAAAGTAGACGAGTCTGACGTTGAGCTCCGTAAGTGCTAATCAAACAACAACCCTAAATTCACCGGCTGACCAGTATCCAGTTTACCAATTCGAAGAATACCTGCCCGAATCTATCCGTAGCTGGGTCGACAGCAAGCTTCGCGACCTGCGTATCATACTCATCGAGAATGGAATCCTTGCCGACTCCACATCTGCTGATGCTCCTGAATCCAAGGCAGTCAGCGATGCAAAGTCGCAGCTTGAAGCAGCAAAGAGGGAGCTCGATAATGACAAGTCTGAACTAACCAGACACGAAGAAGATCTTACCAAGGACTATGGCCCAGATGCCATCTTCCGCGCGTTGAAAGACGTCTGCATATCCACCGACTCTGGTGAATACACATACGAGCACTGCTTCCTTTCGAGGACGACACAGAAGTCCAAGAAAGGTGGCGGCCACACGGGCATGGGCAATTTTGTTCGCATCGAGTCCATGACTGTTGATGAGGAGCTACCTGCGGATGGCAAAGGTTTGGGCAGTGGCGAGCGCATCGCGCTCAAATACGAAAATGGACAGCATTGCTGGAATGGCCCCAACAGGAGCACACTTGTCATCTTGGCTTGTGCGGAGAAGGACGAGATCTGGAAGATTGTTGAAGAGGAGAAATGTGTGTACAGGATGGAAGTGGGCACGCCAGCGGTGTGTGGTGTTGAGGTTCAGAAGCCTGCACCAGAACACAACGAGTTGTAAGAGGATGATAGCGTATTCTGGGCATACTGCGGTTGACTCACGTTGCTTGGATGATAGAAGATTAGATATCAAGGCATGACTACAATGTTAAAAGCAATTTTTACTCGGTTTGTGGTCTCTGTAGCTTTGTTGTCTGCGAGTGTGGTCCCCCTACATTTTCAAGTGTTGCTGCGCTCTGACTTCCTGAGAGATTTGTGGGGTATTTCGAACCCGTGAGTGTTCTACTCTTCCAAATGAATATCGGCCTCTCAGTCGATGGATGAAACCGGAAAGCCCAGATCAAGTGGGCTAGCCCACGAAAACGAGCTACCTTTATTACGAAATGCTAGCACTACTAAAATAATAGTCTCAATAAAAATAGATCAAACTAATACGCTAAATCTACATTAACTATAACTAAGCAGATGTTATTTAGTAGTGTTCTAGTTGAAATATAGGTTTTAAGTGGACTCTATACTGTTGAATTTAGTGATCTTATATCTAACTTCGTCGGCCGACCAAGAGAGGAGGTTCCAAGGGAATTTCTAGGTGTTAAAGCTTTGAGAACTCCCTAGGACGAACTATAGGAAATATGTTATATTATAGGGATTGATAACACCTGGTACATCACGATTGTACTTTACGCACCTAATTTCTCCGCTGGTCGTTCATCAGAAATCGGAAACAACATTACTTATCACAACTAATATGATATATTTCCAAACGTCTCTAGTAACAAGAAAATCGTCAAGGAATATTTACACCACCTTGATGCCGGCCGAATCGATAAACTCAATGATTTCTGAAGCCCTGATGGTACCGGGTGGGTCAGTGGTGACCCTTCAGTAAACCCATTCGCCGGCGACCGCGTAGCCTACGAATGAATTGAACTACTCTCTCGTGTAGTAGGCAGCTTCGATCAGTGAGAGTTTGACACAAAGTTTTTAGCTGGTGAAGGGGATCGTGTGGTAATTGATGGTTACTCCAAGGGCGATGGGCCGGGAACGCGAAAGTATCGAAATGAAATAGCTTTGTTTTTTTAATGCTAGAGGAAGGGAATATTGCTGAGAGGCGGGAGTACTGGGATCCTGATAGGACAAAGTGATTGAGGGTATTGAGCCAAACGGTAACACGGTCACTGTCTAGTCAATTACTTAGGAAAATGAGATAAATAAGGATGCGGCACCTCATCTTTATAGGAACCGGAAGTATGCAACCAGAGTTACATGACCATATCGCTGAGAATCCTCTTATGTAACCTCTAAAACCGGAAAATCTAACCAACCAGATATAGTCCACCAAAACCTATCATCAGCAATACGAAATATTATCACCGCTGTATAAGAGTCGGCGTCGCATCTTCTACTGTGCGATGAGGTGTTATCGATAAGCATTTTTGTCCCTCCATCCCGCAACCCCACCAACTTTTTTTCCGCAGTCACTACACAGTGAGCAGTACATTCTAGGACGCCACACGTGTTGAACTTTTGAACAATTTTTTTCGGCACCTAGTGGCTTTGAATACTTGTTGGCAACTCTCAAAGAAAAGAAAAGAAAAAAACAAACAAACAGCGCATCATGCCGAAAGCAAAGGATCTCTCTACACTCATTGAAGTCACCAAAAACACCCAAACACTCCTCACACACTACCAATCGTCGCTTGCACCCAGCAAATCCAACACCATCACTGCCATCGTACCTGCGTCTGCACCAGACCCGTCGACAGAAATAGCGAATCCGCTCGAACTGCTCCGAACCAGCAGCACGCTGCTCAAATCGCACACAACGACCCTCTCGCTGCTGCTCATCAACCCGCCTCTGACGGCGTCTGCGATAGTCACCAAGATTGGCAATGTGAGCGAAGGACCGCTAACCGGGGTTGTGACCGCGGCGAGTTATGTACCTGGTGTGGGACAACGGGGCGACGTGGGTGAAATTATGCGTACGGAGATGCGGGCGCAGGTCAAAGGGCTGCTAGCGAGTTGGAGCGAAGTATTGAGTATTGTGCTCAGTATTGCGCAGAAACAAGGGACGAAGCAAGGAGGGAGTGTGACGGAGGCTGAGAAACAACAAGTGCTTTCTGCCACGGGCATGGTATGGGATGCGTGTGATGGAGTGGAGAAACTGTGCAAAGACGGGGTGGTGGGGCTCGTGGTGAAGAAGGCACAGGAGTTGCGGGCTGTGCTGCTCGATGCAATTGAGGAGTTGAAGGAGTGGGGGGAAGATGTTGCAGACGATGATGACGACGACGATGAGGCAGAGAACAGCGACCAAGATGATGTTTTCGCAACGGAAAACAAGTTGGGCAAAGACGACAAAGAGCTCAAGGCTCTGCTGGATAAGAGTCTCAAGAAGCTGAAGATGATGGGGATATTATACCAGGCGCTTGTTAAGAGGAGGCTAAAGACGTATCCTGCATCGTCGATTCTCGAGCCCAGCAATACAACTGCGACGAACACAAAGAGGAAGGCAATAACAGAAAAGGGAGAAGGACAAGCAGAAGGAGAAGTGGGAGAAGCGGTACAGAGTCCGAGTGTCAAACTCAGCGAGCTCATGGGCGTGCTCAAAACTATTCCAGAGACGGTTGATGATATCGCTGCTGCATTTTACGATCTCGACGCAGACGAAGCGCAAGAGATGCTAGACCGATGCTGCGGTGAGGCCAAGACAGCAGTCGACCTTGTGCGCAGGAGTTGGAGTGGGCAGGACGATGAGTTCACAGCCTGGTCCGAGAAATGGGTTGCAGCTCTTAACGATGCTGCTGCTGCATGAAAGCGGAGCATGTATACACACTAATAGTAAGTAATGCGCTTGTTGTGACACCAGGAGTGGCATGCCATCACCAAACAGCATCGAGACCCTTCCTTCTCCAGCAACAACTGATTGGAAATCACATTGGAACAATTCAAAAAACAGAGTCAAATCATAAAAATTAAGTGGTTGTCAGAATTCCTATCTGAAATGTATTTGCTTTCGTGTCTTCAAGGTGAACAAGACTCCCCGCCGATCTCCAGATGCTACATGAAAGCGCAAAGAAGTGAAAGGTATATCCATCAATTTGCGTCCAAATACCGTCGAACCATGAAAAATCCCTTTGGCAAGATAAAAACACACAAAAGGTCTACACACACACGCACACACCAAGCGTGAGGGGCGGAAAAAAAAGGTGTTTACAAGCCGAAGGCAGCAGCAGCGAGACCAAGGGCAACGGCACCAATGGCAGCGGAGTTGCCAGAAGCAGCGCCGGTAGACTGGGCAGGGGAGCCGGAGGAAGTGCCAGAGGCAGTGGGCTTGGAGCCAGAGGGAGTAGGAGTGGCAGGAGCGCCAGACTGCTGGCTGCCAGGAGTGCCGGTGGCGGCGGGAGCAGCAGTGGGAATGTCGCTGAGAGTGATACCAGCGGAGGCGCAGAGGCCAGCGACGGCAGGGACGATCTCTGTGGCATATTGTTAGCCTTTGGCTTGGCTTTTTTGAAAGAATGATTTGATAAGAGAAGGTGGTGGGGAAAGGGAAAACACTTACTAAGAGCTTCCTCTTGGGAGCACTTGGTGGGAACGCAGGCCATGAGGGCGTCCTGCAGGGGCTGACGGCCGGTGGTGCACTGGCACTCAATGTTGGTGGCAGCGCACTTGGAGGCGGGCAGAGCAGCGACGAAGCAAGGAATCTAGGGGATGGATGGTCAGTGACATGTGTCATGGTGGGATTATAGCGTCCACTAGCTCGACGCGATTCCAATGGTGCCGCGAGAGATGGATCTGGACAAGATAAGGGAAGACAGGGCAGAGGAGGTACATACAGCGCATTGAGGGACAGCGGAGAGGTCCTGGGCGCTGGCGAAAGCGAAGGTGGCCGCAACGGCGAGAACGGTAGCTTGGAAACGCATGTTTGCTGTGGTGTTTGGTGGGTGGTTGTTGATGTAGTAGTGGTGGTGGTTGTAAGTGTTGGTGTTGTTATTAAAGATTGACTGGAACGTAGGAGATGGGTATTTTGCGCAAAACGTAGGATGGAATCGAAAGCCACTGAAGGAATTAAGGAAGGGAAAAGACGGTTCTTTATCAAGATAAGTAGTGGGTGGCAGGCTAGACTAAGACGGGGAATAGAAGGGGGGCAGGTAAGGTTTAGGTAAAGGGCCGGCACCTCCACGATCGCATTCGACCAAGCAGGTCGTATCCACAGCAATAGTGGCTCGGTGGGATCAAATGCTAGTTAACCCGCAGGTGATCGACGTCAGGGGTAATGGCTGTTTAACTTTAAGGCACAGCTGGCTTTTTTCGGGGACGCGCCTAGATTTGCTCCAAGGTTCATGCCTTGAGTTTACAGGTAAGACGCGACTTGCCCACCACTACAGTTTGCAGAGACATTGTATTCATCACGACGTAGACGAGCTGTAGTCGTAAGCCTCGACAAGAAGAGAAGGGTTCTTCAATTACACCGAATTGCATGTTGCAGACCCAGGAAGCATAAGCACTTGCCTGGGTGAACCTTGGGGGGCAAAAAGCTCAGGGCACGATTAAGGTTTGGTTCAGCGGGCGTAAGTGGTTAGCGGCATCTTTGGGTGGAGCTGGCTCCTCCGCTGACGATAGTGTGGTTACTTGGTGTTGATCGTTTTTGTTTGCCCCAGCCTATGGACAATGTCAATTTGCAGTAGCAGGAGCAATACTTACTACATAAGTGGAGCGCAAGTGTATCAGCCGTGCGTCGGAAGCCTGCTGTTGTTGCTTGGCCTAGAGGGGTTGAATAAAAAGCAAGTCAGGACCGTTAGCAGGACGGGTGCGGGAAGAGCCCTTGCTGCTTACTTTTTCCAGAACTGATTTGTTTTTTTTTCTGCCATACATACTTGGACGCACCAGACAGGTCTGCCATGGGTGGATGCGCGTTCATGCGACATTGGATTGCTGACGTATGTATGTCGGGGAGGGTCTTAGGCACTTTGGGAAGCCGTACATATGGCCCAACGGTGGTGGCATGCAGAGACCATGCTGCACGGCCAATCATTGCGACTGATGTGGCGCAGGGCATACAGCGGTGTTTCTCGAAAAATTGGCCGCTCGGCCAAGGTTTACAGCAGAAGCTTACTGTTGTTGCGACTCAGACCTCAGTCAAGCAGTCCGAGCAGGAGAGTGCCGTATACAAATTAGTTTGTGGTGTCGAGTGTTTAATGAAGAGCGGTTGCTGGTCTGACTGTTTTGATGGGAGTAGTAGCAAGTGTATGTAGGATGCAGGTACGCGATGGGCGCATGCAGGCGCGACTGGCTTCATGACTAACCCCACATTTGTGCGTCCCCCTCACCCCTCCCCCTTCTGTTCCTCTTGATTGCTTTTGCCAGTTTTTCCTGCCCTTTTTCTTTTCATCCAACGGGTCCAGGTGACCGTGCATGTACGCGTGCATTTCCCTGCCCCTTGTCGCAATGCCGCGTAACCATTCCGTACAGCCGTCTCGCGGGCGGCATCCAGAAGCTTCGTCTTGGACATTACCGGGCTTCCTCTCGGTAATGATGGCGCGCTTGCGAGTTCTTGGCACGGGCCAGATGAGATGCAAGTAGCCAAGCAACGGCAGCTGAAACAAGGGCCCATGACTCGACCGTTGCGGGTAGATGGGGCATTGAGACCATGGCACACAACTTGTCACTCGTCTCACATCATCTCATCTCGGTAGATTGTTATCGTATTTGCTTTTGCTGCCGTCGAGCGGTGTGATAGCAGTGGTCGATAAGTGCATGACCATGTAGGGCAATGCAGTTAGACATCATCCACAGTGTGCATGCTGCTACCGCAGTCGGCTTCTTTCTCTGCCCATCCACCTTCTCTAAAAGCACAACTGCGCCGCTGCAAACAGCACGACAAAATAAGCCTCGTATTAAACAAACAAAGAAACAAACAAACAAATAAGCCTCCCTTTTGTGGTCTGGATGCCAAAGTCACAGTCAGCGTTACAATGAGCCCCACATGTGGAGAAGCACCATGAACAGGTGGGTTGACAGTGCGACAATCATAATCTTCACATGGCCCAAGCAATACAAACGTCTCGTCAAACACAGTGAATAGCGCTTCTTTTGTATTGACCGCTATAGCCGTCGCAGCACCGGCACACGCAACCCGGCAGCACACGCTAAACCGAATCCCCACGAAGCCTACATGACATGACGACCTTCTTGGCGGCTAGCAATACCTTTCGACTCAAAATGACCATCCGAGTAGCCTTTCCGTCTGAACTCAGACCAGGCGTGCTCGACACTTGCGTGATGCGATTGCGAACCTCTACTTGCACCGTGTCCAGCCCGGTGCCGGGTCGTACTCTAGCCCGAACCCTATCGTTCATCATGAAATGGATCTTTCAAACGAAAAACTTGTAGAATCGAGAGGTATATCGCTGAGACAGTGGGTAATGAAAAAAGAAAAGAAAAGAGCAAAGGAAATCAATGGAAAAGAAAAGAGAATTCGAAAAGAAAAAAACTCCCCCAAACCCAAGGCCCTTGTCACAGACGCGCCCAACCTTGAAAAAAAACATAACAAACACAAGAGGGAACAGAATTTGATCTTATACACGGGGCAAATGTAAAATCGCTGCAGACAAATGGCTGTCGTGATAAACGAAGAAAAGAAGGATTAGATGAAAAGAACTTGAGTCAACCATGCAATTACTGGCCTCTTACAGTTTAGAACATAGCACCCTCAACCGAACCTTGACCTCGGGGCTGTGCGTTCATGGGACGCGGAGGTGAGTTGTTGCGTCCCTGGAAACCACTCGATGGCACAGGAGGAGACGGTCCCATTTGGCTCTGTGCTACTCCACGCAGACTTCGGCCTTCGCTTGTCGCTTTCCTCAGCATATTCCTAGGCGGTGGGTGCGCCTGCTCGTACAGACCATCTGCCGAACCAGTACGAAGCGGCTCTGCAAAAGGCGCTCGTGGGGCCTCGATGCCCGGCTGGACAGCAGGATCAGAAGCTGCTGAGCCCTGACCCTCACCACGACCAAATCCAAATCGTCGCCTCATAGGGTTGATGGGTGGAACAGGCGGCGCATCATATTCGCTGCCATTCTTGAGGGATGCACCAGGGGGGAGATCAACCGTGTCAATTACCGACGTTGTGGAAATGAAGACGGGATCCGAAATGTCTGCCTTGGCAACCGACTTCTTTCGCAACATTGCTTGTCTGTTTACAGGTTGTACAGTGCTTGGATTGAAGGCAGGAGCACTAGGCGTGGCCGGGTTGGGCGTCGTTGGATTAGACACAGGAGGCGTGTGGCTATTGGAGAACGGAGGCATTGGAGAGGTAGGATGCGAGTAACTCTGACCACTGTGGTTGCTGTAGGCGCCAGGTGAAGGTCGAGGCGAAATCGGTAGTCCAGGCGACAATTTGCCGTGCTGAGGGGGAAATCGTGCATTCTGGCCCGGTGTCAGGTTGGTCTGGATGGGGTTAAGGTGCTTTGATTCAAAGTAATTAGAAGCAGAAACTTTGCTGTTGCTCCTTGAACGTGAGCGGCCTTCAGAGTCCATTGACGTCTTTGGTGCAGGCAGAGGAGGCGTAGGGTGTGCTACATATCCAGGTAGCGAAGGAAATGTGTTTGGAGGGTAGGCAGCTCGGGACCCTTCGGTCATGGCCTGGTCCAAGTCATCACGATAATGACCTCCACGGCTCCGGGAGCGCCCTGATGAGGTGCCAGAGCTTGAGCGTTCTCTTGTCGAGCTCCTGGTTGAAGCTGTTTGTGTTCTACCTACAGGACGACCTGTCCGGCTGCTATCAGTTGCTGAGCGTTGTCTGTGCTCGAGCTCACGCTGGGCATCCTGCTCGCTCTGTTGCAGTACACGGGAAGGCTTGGTTCGCAGTGGCGGTATATCGGAACTTTGCATGCTCACAAGCGAAGTGCTGCTGAGGTTGACCGCAGAGGCGCCAAGAGCAAGCTTCCTAACCGACTTGTTGGAAGCATCGACTGTGGCAAATGCTTCGCCGTTTGACTTTGCGCGAAGCATGTTCAGAGCATTCTTCAATCCTCCTGATGGTCCGGCGCCAGGCCCAGGGCTCAGTGACCGGCCCTCGGCCTTTGCACGAAGACTCTCTTGGATTAGACGTTGTCTCTGGGCAAGATCTCGTTGGAATGCCTCGTGCTCAGCTTCCGTCTCGTTGCTAGCAATCCTTTCGTGATTCCTGCGAGGAGTGAGATCCCACGTGGATGGACCAGTGTGGTGCTCAGAGGTGCTCATGATAAGAGGCCTGATCCTGGTTGATCCCTCAATAGGACTCGAGGGTTTGGTAGCCCCGCGGTCTTCACGATAAGGGCCATCGATGTCATCAAGATCCCATGGGTTGGAATGACTGTACATTGATGGCACAGGCGTGACGGACTCGGACTCGTAATCTGGCTGCCTACGTTGCAGTCTAAAGTCGTTCTTCTGGAAGGCTGAATCCATGGGTGGGCTCATGACAGGCGGACCCGGTTCGCCGTAGGTGGAAGAGACATTGCTGTTGCTGCGCAGGTGCTGGCGAATCAGACCACTAAGCCCACCGTTTTGGGGGCCGAGAGTGGGAGAGTCATTATCTGCGACGTTTAGTGCGGAAGACTGGGTGCCTTGGTAGGGAGAACGAGGAATGGAGTTTGATTGTTGAGTATCCTCGTGTGATGGAGCACGTGAGCGGAGTGCAGGGTGCTCAAACATGGGCGGCGCAGGACCAGTTGCAACTGGGAGATTTTCAAACCGACGGGCGGACCCCGCAGGACGAGTTGTCGCTGGCTTGGAAACTGGCTCTTCTTGTTGTTGCCCTTGCTCGTCATCACTCGAGTCAGGCGAGGTAAAGAAGGTAGCTTGCACACATCCGTCCTTGGGGTTCTGTGGGGGCTTCTGGCTTGGCTGTACGTTTGCAGCCGCTGGACCTGCAGTCCTCATCTGGCTGGCAGCAGCCTGAAACCTAGAAAAAGCATTTGTAGCTGGACTTTGCTCTGTAGGTGATTCAGGTCTGGGCTTCTCTCTCGCGTCACTTTCCGCTCTCTTCCTTCTTTCCTGTTCAGCTCGCTCTCGCAATGAGGGTTTGCGAGGAATCGACTTTGCAGCTCCTGACGCTGGTGATTCGCGTGCTTGTCTGTCTTGGTTCATCTGTCGCAAACGCTCAGCATACTGTTCTTCGCTAAAAGCCTCCTTTGGCTTATTGAAGGCACCCAGGGCAGTGGCCTTGCCTCGATCGTTTGGTTGAAGCGCAGCATTGAGTGAGTGAGCATCGCTACAATCACTGGCCACTGGGCTTACCAATGGCGGCGATTGTGGCCGCGAAAGAACAGGGCTTGATGTGCCCGACGAGTTTGTTCGGACCATGGCTGGATGGCCAGTGGCACCGGGGCTTTCAGAGCGGAATCCAGGACCCCTGGCAAAGCGGTCGTGGAGATTTGTTGCAGAACGTGCTTGGCTTATGGGCAGAGGCTGGTTTGATCGCAGTGTGGGCGCGCGCGCTCGCTGTATCGAATTGAGGCGGTTCATGGCTGAGGATTGCTGGTCTTGGATTTGCTGATCCAGGCCTTGGTCATAAAGTCGCCGCTTGGTGGTTGGCCGGTTCAGATCTGGAGAGCTTATAGGAGCCGAGGAAGGGGGCAGGGAAGGAGAAGAGGCGGAAACCGAGTTGGCGCCTTGGGATGCTATTGAAGTCGCAGCGGTGGAGATGCGGGTATTGGATGGGCCAGAGTTTGTCGAGGATATAGTCTCCCTCTTCCGGCTGAGTTCTGTCGGACTGGAGGGTTCCGAGTGCTGACTCTCTTCCTCCTCTTCTGCCTGTTGCCGTATGCGCTCCTTTTCTTCTTGTCGTAGGCGTTGGTATGCTGACAGGTTGACATCGTCGTCGTACAGAGCGCGTCCGGTGCCCTTTGAGTTTGTGTTTGAAATGACGTAGATTTTCTGTCGTCCGCCAAAGAGGATGTTGCCCTCGCCCGGTCTCGCTCGGCTCATGACACTGCCGGAGCCATCTTCTTCTTTAGGGCCATCAAACGAGTCGGTGCGTTCAGCAGCAGCCGGTCGATGGAGGGAACCTTTGAGCGAGGATACTTCAGCAATGTCTGAGAGGCCACCAGGAACGAAACCAAACTCGTGGAGGCGGGACTGACGTTTGGGTTGGAGAACACTGTCGTCGCTTGCTTTGCCGATGAGGGATGAAGGGTCATCCTGCTCTCTCAGCATGCTGAAGCGGGTGGATAGACCAGGCAGGATTAGACTGGTGCGGAAGTCGTCTGCCTTTGGGAGGACGGCATTGAGATCGAACTCTGGCTTGACCTCTTCTTCTTCTTGACCCTTTTTGCCCTTTTTGACCTTCTTCCCGGCAGGCGCGTCTTCGGCGCCATCCTTTTTCCTGTTCAGCCAACGGTTCATGGTGTCCTGGCCAGGATTAGCGAGGTGGTGCGAGAGTGGGAGAGACGAGGGGGTGGTGTCTTACTGCTGACAGTGACTACACTGTGGTGTAGGCGATGTTTTGCAGGCTGACCAATGGCTGCTTGGTGGCAGGAGCGAGGAGCGAGGAAGTGAGGGTGAAAGCAGCAGGTGGCAGCATGTAGTGTGGGAAGTGGCGAGGGGCGAATTGGGTGCTGCCTGTGGGATAGTGTGTGTGTGTGTGGGAGTGTTTGTGGGTATGTGTGTGTGTATGTGGAGAATAGGAGGACGGGCAGCGGCTGGCGTGCGGGCGTGCGTGCGTGCGAGCGAGTCTGGGGGACAAGTATAAACAATAGATTAAGAAACGGGTTAAGGAGCGTGTGAGTGAGGCTGAGAAGAGAAACAGACGAGGGCAAAGGAGCGGATGCACAGGCGCGCAGCGAAGTGCGGCGTGGTGGAGGGAAAGGAATGCAGAAAGCAGATCTCCCGACCGAAAAGATGGCACGACAAGCGGGTCGGCGTGGGCATTGGACAGTTTTTGCTCTGGGGGAGTGATGGGCGCGTCGAGCAAGCACCGGGATTGATTTTGACTAGGCTCATTTCCGTGCCGTGCATGGGCGCTTGAGGCCGGGCGCTGGCAGGGAAAGCTGGAGCAACAGCACAGTGGGAGCAGCAGCAGTAGCAGCAGCAGGAGGGGGAGAAGCAGGGTTTGTGCGCAGGGAGCAGCGGGGCGCTGGGACCGGGCGTGACTCCACGAGCTCGAGTGGCTCGTATGTGGTAAAGTAGGCCCAGTGCTGTATTACCGACTGTGGTTGGCGGCAGATGTGGTGGTGATGGTGGTGGTGGCGGCTGGCAGCAGGGGAGGCGCCGCCGCACCCACGAGTCGTCTCGTGACTTTGGCTGTCGGAAGACGAGGGCCCGCCTCCCCTAGAGCGACAGGACGAGTAGCAGCAACAGCAACAGTCGCAGCCACGCCATGGTGTTGTGCGCCCCAAAGCGCCGCGCCCAATCAGAGCACGCCGGTACCTTGCAGGCCCCCCGCCCTCTCCCTGCCTGCTGAAGTCTCCAGACGCTGCATGTTCCGCTCATGGTCGCGCAGTGCTTTTTTCGTGTCTCTGCACTGTTCTTTTTCTTTTCTTTTTTCATCATCTAGCCAGCCAGCAAGGCCGCAGGATAAACGACGCGCCCACCAGTTGTCCGGCCAGGCTGGGCTAGGCATGGCGGTGGCCGGAGCAGCACCAACAGCACCAGCAGTGCCGGCACGCCCTTCGCGTACCTGAAGCCGCTAGGCCCGGGATACTAGCACTAGTGCCAAGTGCAAGTAGTGTAGTGTAGTGCACACTGAAGCGAACGAATCACCCGTAGCCCTGGCCCCGGTTACCTTTATCGTTTCCCCTGGCCTAACCGCCTACCGCCTTGCCTCTCCCTTTCCTCTTTCCTGCACCCACGCCCATGTCTGTACATTGGCTGCACATGCTCCCGTGTACATGTCCGCACACGTCCACACACGTAGTGTACATGTGCTTCATTGTACATGCAGTACATACTACACCTGTATCACCCCGCCTCCGTCCACTCAGCTCTCTCTTCGCCTTCAGCCACTCACTCCATCGTGCTGACCCCCGAGGACCGCGGCCCCCTCTGCAGCACCGTGCGCCTGCCATGACTACCATGACATCTCCTCCATTCGGCCACCCGACCAAGCCGTGTCAAAACCCTCATCGCTCCGACTGACAAGTGGCTTTCTGCCTGACTGCTGTCAAGAATAAGGCAGCCAAGACCCCCTATGCCCATGCTGCTGTACTTAGTTACTTGAGTACCTACATTGTTCCCCATCACTCTGCTTGCTCTGATCTCGTGACGACCATGGCATTGACTGTTCCTTTTTTATTTATTCATTGCACTCACTCATCCAGTGGTTGCTGAACTAAGCACAGGCCCAGGGCTTTATTCTGTTCTGTTGTGCTCCGCTCTCTTCTTGCCTCCTGCCTCCTGCCTCCGCCTTCACCTCGCTCCCAAACCACCGTCCAAGCCTCTTACGCACAGATCGCCTTGCTCTATCCAATCTAGTGCCTCCCGTCATTCCTTCCTTCCTTCCTTTGTTCCTGTCTTCTTCGACAACCCCGGCTGCCAGGGAAATTACAAGGCCCGGCAAGGCCATCGGATCGATTGTCTTGTTTCAACAACCAGTCTAGCCCTCCCCCACTCTCCTCCTCCTCCTCTCCCCTCTTCCGAAATTATCCATCGTCCACCATCGGCGCTACTCGTCGCTACTGAAGCCTTGCAGACACCGCCAGCATCCATCTATTTGCACCATACTTAGTCCTACTTGCCGACCCACACATGCCCTGTCTTCCCACCAACAAGCCGTGGTCGCCAACCGTCACTACGCCTAACGCTCCGTCATGGCTCCCCTCACAAAGTTTAACGTCCAGCCCGCCCCACCACAACACGATAAGCTTTCCCACTAGCCACACTCAACAACTGCCTGCAATCTGCCTGCACGCTGCTCAATTCAACCATCCACGCTCAACTTGTGCCTTTTGATTCAACTGACGACATGCTCACTCCGTACTGCTGCTCGCTAAAGCCATCTAACAAATAAACATCACCAAGGCATACTACAAGGTACCAGCCAAGCACACCACCACCCTCCACTACAAAACAATTACCCTCTAGTGTCGCCCTAGGTGTTCATCCGCCGTGTTTCGCATCTCACCTCACTTCCGGCCTGCATATTGCCATCAAGCGGGGCACCGTTGAATGCGTGCCGCTACGTTGCAATCCTATCCACTAGTCAGCAGTCATGAAGAACTTTTTTTCCTGCAACATGATTGTCGGGTTCCACGTTTTCGCTCATCACCACCGTCGTTGCCGACCGGCTACCGGCGACCGAGAAGAAATTGCAAAGTCAGATTTTTTAACAACATCCGCTTACAGTATACTCTCGCCGTTATCTAAGTGCAGAATCTCGGCCGATTCCAAATTGCCTTCGTTTTCCCCACAACTCCGGGAGATGAGCTCCAAATTTCGTCCCGACCACGTGAAACAACGTCTCCAAGGGCCCCATGATCCTTGACGACGATCATCCCCCTGGCCCAATCCATGTCGCCCGTTGCCCTTGAGAGTGCGGTTCCAAATTGTACTTGATATACTGTAATGAGGCTACTTCGACGTAGCCACTCAAGTACATGATGTCGACATTGTACAAAATATCAAATTGATAGGGCGCACACCGCTAGCTACTAGGCTCCGTGGCGACATGCAAGAGAGCCTGACGTCCTATCGCCCAATATGGTTCAGCTACTTCACTCTCCCGTACCTGGCTTTTCACAACCATGTGACGGTTTCATCTGCTTTGCAATGACGTCTTCAACATGGGCTGCCGCTTACTACGTCCCTCCCGCCCGCCCCCATATTAAATCTACCCAATCACTCGGGTGAGGAACACGCAACACGCTTATGCTATCGTACTTACATGGCTATCGATGTAAGTACTTATGTAAGATCAAACACAAGATCGGCCGTCGACAAAGCATATGTCCCTTACTTGTCCCTTGCCACACTACTTACTCGATACACCCCCCGACCATGCCACTTGTGCGCATATAACATCTTTTGTTATACCTACATGCTTTCTAGACCTACGCTTTGCTTTCGGCCCGACTTTGTAAGAGGTATATGAGTCCAAATGATTGCTCGCTTGCTACATACTTGCTACATGCTTGCTACATAGATATACACACACGTAGTACTTACGTACTACAACTAAGACGTGCAGCCAACCCAACAGTAACTAATGCTTGTTGTCTTCCCATGCATGGGCAAATGTACAATCCACATGGTACCCCTGACTTGGGAGTCAGTCGAACATGCTCAACATCAAATATAAAAACATAATAATACATGGATTGATTCATTTCTCGTCTAATTAGAACAGCAAAGTAACAAAAAAAAGTTGCATCGGTTGATGTCTGTAAATATACACACTAACAAGCAGTACTTCGCTGTCCATTGACCCATCAAGTGAGGAAGTGACGATAAGCTTGGAAAAAGAGAGAGAGAGAGAGAGAAAACTAGACAATACCAAGACCGCGGCCATGCCTAAATCTACACTTGGATCCAAATCAACGCCAATAACAGCGCCCCAGAGACATATGTGTGCCCAATACGTCCTCAATACCCTCCCAATCAAAGACAACAACACCCCGTATGTCTCCTCTTTTACACCACCCCATGAGCCCACATGATTTCGTATATTCCTGTCCCAAGAACCACAAAATCCAGGTGTGTGTGTGTCATCATCATCTATCCATCCATCATCCCATCATCCCTTACCCACTACGTATTCTTACACGCCCCCAACCCCACCCAGTCCACCCACAATACTACCAATACTACTACCAACACCACCACCATCATTACATGTAACCGGCCAGGCACTCTACTCCTTTCCACCTCCCATACGCTCAATATTCGACATTAACCGGCTCTTGCCCCCACTGCCGCTACGGCTCAACCCAGGTGTGCTCTGGTACTTGAGCCCACCAGGTGCCCGTAGCCCAGATGGCTTGCCCACGTTGCTGCTGCTGCTGCTGCTGCTGCTGCTGCCGCCGCCGCTTCCATTACGCTCGTGCATGGCACCTAGACGATCGCCCGTTCCGCTTCCAGGACGTCCGCCCCCAAGAGCAGACCCTGGTCGTGCTGGGCCGCCAGCGAGGAACCCCGTGTTGCGCATAGCCTGTTGCTGCGGCGCCGCTTGCTGATAACTACTAGCTGCCTGCTGAGGCGCTGCCTGTGCTTGTTGCTGAGGTGCAGCCCGTGACTCCGGCTTCATCTGCGACCGACGCAAGTCTTCTTGTTGCAGTTCCTCCATCTTTTCGCCGCACATGGACAACATTTGTTCAGCCGCGGCTACTAATTCACCCTTTTCAATTCGCTCCGCCTCTAGGTCCTCCACAAGAGCGTCGTGTGACTTGCGGAGCGACTTGAGCTCAGACTGTAGGCCTGCAAGTTTGGCCTTGAGGTTCTCAATCTCGGCTCTTTGCGCCTCCAGCATCTGAGCATCCTCTGCGTTCCGTGTGGGCCTCGAAGGTGACGCCCCTTGGTTCTCATCGCCGTCCTGCTGACCAGAAGCAGTCTTGCTTAAAGTGTCGCCGCGCTTCTTCTCAGCCTCTTCAACCTGTCGTTCAAGACCGACTATCTGCAGCTTAAGCTCTTTGCACCGCTCATCGGCCTTTCTCTGATAGTTGTCCTTGAGCGCCTTGATCTTTTTCTCGTGCTTGGCCTTGTAAGCTGTATGGAGATCACGTGCAACTTCGTTAACCTTGTCGGCAATGGCGGCCTGGCATTCGAGTTCAGAGTAGATCTTCTTGTCACCTGCCTCATCATTGCTGATGAACGTGCTCATGTCGACGTTTTTGCTTTCGGCTTCAATGACCTTGGTCTCCAATTCAGCCGATCGGTTTTCGGCTTCTTCAGCACGCTTCTCAGCTTCGGCCAATCTAGCAAACAGCTCTTCGCGTTCGGCATCATTGCGAGCCATCTCAGATTGGACGTCCTGTAATAGCCTCTGAACCTCCTCGCCTTTTGATTTCCAGTCCACCATCTGAGTCTCCGCATACTCGCGGGCAGAGCGTTCCTCGCGTACCGTTTCTTGAGCTTCTCCCACACGGCGCTCAGCATCTGAGATAGCCCTAGAGAGTGCCTCGATCTCGGCCTCTTTTCCCGACAAGCTAGCAGTGAGAGAAGATATTTGAGACTGGAACTGAGACTTGACAGACTCTAGCTCTCTGATGGTAACTGTTGGGAGGGATCGGGGTGTTGGTGGTGGAGGAAGCTCAAAGTCCAAGAGATTGAGCATTTGGCGGCTTTGGTTTGGTGTAGCAGGCACATTTGATCCGCCCTTGGCAGGCGATCGTTGACTCTGATAATAGGACCGTAGCGTTGGTTCTTTGCTAGACTTGCTGGGCGACGTCTGTCCGCGACCAGAGGAGCTGTTGCGGGATGACGAAAAAGACTCAATTTGAGCAGTAAAGTCTAACAGCAAATTCGTGGTGTCATTGTCTTTGTATGTACGACGGGGTGTGGGACTGGGGGTTTTATCGCTACGACGAACGGTTGAAGGTGTCATTTGAGCGCGAGGGCGTGGTGTAGCCTGTAATGTTGTCAGTATTGCGCCTTAGTGGTAACCTTCATCGTGTACATACATCTAGCGCGTCATCCTTCACCGGACTCTTTCTGAGAGCTGCAAATTTGGTCATGTCTATTCCCGGCATCTCGGAAAAGGTGCTGAAGCAGGTGTCATCGATATCCAACGAGGTGGCCTCTAGACCATCCGGGTGCATATCTGTGTTATCCAAGACTGAGTCGAGCTCGACTTCAGCATTGTAGTAACTTTGCCTCTTAACGCTCGCTGTGTTTTCCTTGTGTGTCTCCATGAAGTTCATAGCTGCCGTCAGGCCCTCATTGTCACGCAACACACGTGCCTTGAGGGGAGAAGAAGCTGGTCGTTTCGAGGGAGTAACGGATATTTCAGGGACTTGGTCTGCCAATGACAGCTTACGGTGAGTTGTTTCGGGCGATGATGCGTGCACCGATTTGGAGGGCGATCGGCTTTTGCGAGAGACACTGCTCAGCGGCGATCCAGACCATTCCGTAGCAGTTTCTCTGACAGGAGAAACGTTCGTCTTGGGACTTGTGGTGCTGCTTATAAGCCCCGCGTCTTCAAAGTCGTCCATCAGGTTTTTCACAGGCGATGTCTTCATGGGACTTGTTCGCTCTTTGAGGACAGATTTCTTGTCTGGTGAGACCTTGAATGCAGATTGGGGAACGTTGACATCCAAGTCGACCAGCGACTTGACAGGCGTGTGCACCGCATCTGGTGCAACATTTTCCCGGTCGTCAATGTCAATGTGCGCGACAAAGGGCGACGAAGGCGTGTCATGAAAAGCCATGTCGATGTCGTCGTCAATGACAATCGAGTCGGAGTGAGTGTTGTATCTCTCTGGCGAGAGAGGCGGCATTGGTTCTTCCATTTGTGCGACTAGAGATTGTCAAGCCTGTGGGTGGTTAGTGCAACAGTGCGAAGAGCGCATGGGAATGCTGCTCCTGTGTTGTGATAACTTGTTTACACGTCCGTGCGCACTGTTGCCCCTTCCCAACTTAGTAACCCCCGGTTTGGCCGACGGAGATATTTTGCCAACGCGTAGTACGCATGCCTTGGTGATTGGTCCGGTGAAAAAGCAACGCAAATCAAAACACCAATCCCATTTTATAAAGAAAGATGACAGGAATCTCATTCAAATGGTCTTACTGCTGACACGGCAAATATGCGCATCCCCTACATTCCCTGCTATAATGGCGGGGTCAACATGTCTATAAGTGAATTTGTCAAGAATCTTGTGGCTAGATACGCGGTACAAATACCGGCAGAAAATAAATCAATTGTTAATGGCCGTTCTCATTGCCCCAGCAAGTCGCTGATACTCCTTCAAAAGCTCGTCAATCTCCTTCAACTTGAAATCCTGTGCGTCTTTTGCTTCGAGAAAACGTTTTACTGGTGGTGGTGTCTTTCTCAGTTGATCTAGTGCAGCGATCGCTTTTGCTCCCTTTTCATCTAGCTGTGGCATTTCCGCCGTTGAGGCTCGACTGAGTGGCTCAGGCGAGGGGCATGTCTTTGGTGCTTCCTGGCCTGAGGAAGAGATAACAGGTGTGGCGCTATTGCTCACAGCACGTGCGAAGCGGGGTAGTACGTTCATACTAGAGAAACGATTCAGAGGGTTGAAGTTGTTACCCATGTTGCGAAGAGAGTCAACGGCAGAAACGTTGTTCGATGGAGGAGGATCTGTTTTGACTGCTGCAGGCGATGGGGCCTTTTCTTCTGCATTTGGCGCTGATGTAAAAGTGACACGTCGTCCGCTATTGCTGCCACCTGACTTGGTGGAATCGACACTGCGGTCTCTGATTTGTCTTTTGCCAGCAAAGAGATCGGCCATCTTTGCATCTAGTCCTCTACCACTAGCGTTATCCAACGGCTCCTCACCTTGAATCGAATCTGCAGCACTGACACTCAGAATATCATCGTAGGATTCCGTACGAGTGGGGGAATTGACCAGTTTCCTGGCGTCTTCTAGTGTCTTGGGCAGTGCCGGCTGTTCTTGCATAGGGCCGTTGGGATTCTTTTCTCTGAGACCACCAAAGAAAAACTTGAAGCTTGTGTCTAGCGTGGTATTGATTCTCCCAAGAGCCTGATCGGCCGAGTCTAGGATTGAATCTCGTACCGCGTCCGAGGCGGCTTCTATCTTGTTGGTCTGCGTCTGGATGAGATTACTAAGGCGACGTTGGGCTTTTGTAGTTGTAGGGCTTGATGGCTCTTTGGGTATGGCTTTGGCAGTTGGAGTGGCGGGTGTCTGGATGAGATCTGGGGCGTCTGATAGACCCAACGACATGGGGGTTATCTCTGACTTTGGTGTTGCGGGTCTTGAATCTAGTTTTGCGGAAACGGCCTCTTCGGATCGTAATGATGAAAGATCAACAGTCTCCAGAAACGAGATGGCTGCTTCTAGGTTGACCAAGCAGTAGGCAGTTTCGCCGTCCATGCGGCTTGATGCGCGGAAGCGGTGGATAAAGCCCAGATCGCTGATGACGTTCAAGTGAACAGGGGGCATAGTAATGAGTGCGTAGATGAGGGTGGGAAGAATTTCATCTGCAGACGATGTGGCAGGGAAAATTTTAGACAATGCTTCAACAATCGACTTGTGTGTAGCAGTAAGATGTTGCACTTTTCCAAGGGGATACTTTTCGTCGTTCATCTTGAGCAAGTCTTGCCGCGCCGCTGACAGGTACTCTCGAATCTCGGGCTCCTTCTCCTTTGCTTTCTGGCGCTCTTCCTCTGTCAACTCTTCCCCAGTCATGAGTAATTCTTGCAGACCAATGCCTACTAGTGAGAGAGCTGCTGTTCTCGATCTGAGCTTCTGATCTCTTTCCTCGTCGTCGGTGCTCCTGTGCCGCCATATCCTATCGTATACCTTTTCACAAACTGCTCGCTCGACAGCCTCCTCAAGGGCTAGCCGTTTGACCTCGAGCGCCTTTCGAGCTTTTTTGCGATCAGCCATCTCGGAGGCACTGAGCATCTGCTGTTCCCCCGATTGGTCGCTTCCTTTCCGTATGGAACCTGGTCTGCTCGATGGAGCAATGCTTTTTTTCGAATCTGCGACAAATGATTCACTCGTGATTCGGGCGGACAGGGTTGCTATGTGTGTGTTGATTTTGGAGGAGGCGCGGCCGTAGAAGTCCTGGAAGAGGTCGGCGAGGGCGTCGGCGGACAGTGGGGTGGGATGGACCTTTGCAGTCAGGGATTCTAGAAATCTACGGATGCGTCAGAAGGCCATTGGGGCAGTACACATGAGCGTAGGCAAGTACCGCTCTGTCAAGCTGCGAATCTCTATGGGCAGCTCCTCGAATGTGTCTGGTGCCTTTTGCTCTTCCCCATGCACCTCGTCATCCTCGCCCTTTTCAGCAAACACATCGCCCTCTGTGTTTTCATCCTCCTCTGGTAGTACGGACGCTTTAAGCGGATCGAGCATGTCTGACGCGTGTGGGCCTTGCAGTGTACTCGCTCGGCTTCGTGATAGCGGGCCTTTGGGGGCAGGCTCAAGGCGAGTAAAAGAACGCGAGGGATGGAGGTTTCTGGGGCGGTCGGTCATGATGACGGTGGTTTGATAAGATGTCTCAGGGTATTCTAGGCGTGTCGTGTGCGTGCATCGAAGGGAAAGACGCTGAAACCTGTGTCGAGTACATACGCTCACGTCATGCAGCGGCACTTCCGAGAGCACCGAGCGGCGGTTTAGTCTTGATACAACGCAACGACTTCAAAATGCAGAATGACGGGCAATGGCTTGAGTGGCTGTGGGGTGTCGGGCTAGCGAGCGTGCTTGGTGTTGGCTGACGGGCTGGCGTGTGAAGCTATGTGCTATCTACATACTACTAGTACTAGTAGCACTACCAGCCCAGCATCGAGCTCGTTATCGATGGCCATGGAAGCTCCGCGCCCCGCACAGGAGGAGAGCTCCGCACGTGCAAGTGGCTGCGGGTGGCGGCCACCAGCGCGTCTGGGGTCAAGTGAACCACGGATCGTCATAGATGGATGTGTCTGTCATGTATGTAGTACATTTGCATATCTACTACATGGTGCCGCTCCTTGCCTGAAGCTGCTACGCGTCTCCTCCTGCTTCCCCTTACCAGTGCACGACATTCTTGACGACTGCCTGCCTACGCCATGCGACAACAACCGCTGTGTGCCTCGGCATCGCGCATCGCTGCCTCGTTCCTGCTTTCGTTCTTCGCCGCATGCATCAGTAGCGCCGCTGAGGTACCCATCCTGCCGCCGCCGCCTATCCCTCCCAGTACCCACAGCAGTGACAAGGAGTTCTCGCTGCGGCATGTTTTCCACCATGGCACATACAAGTACCCAGACCTGCACAGGCGGCTGGATGTTCCTGAGCAGGCGGCAGTATGGATGGCCGCCGATGCGCATTCAACCGACCGCGAGCCAGTGCCACGGTTGCGCGTCAAGTCCGAGGCCATGACGATACAGAGACTAGCAGATAGGAGCAAAGAGACGATTGATGGCATACTTGAGTGGGGCAGGAAGACTGGAAGAGCTGTGCAGCTTGCAGAGGAAGACTGGACCATGGACGAGATTGCGGGCCCGAATGTGACGGATAGAGAGACGGTCCTCAGCTTCGCGCGCATGGCCTCCAACGCCTACATACTTGAGCCCAACACCGGGGAATGGGAAGACGTTGGTGGTGGGTTCAACTACACGGAAGACTTTGGCTGGGAGTCTGATGGCCTGCGAGGTCACATCTTCGCCGACATGGAGAACTCAACTGTCGTCATCGGCCTCAAAGGCACCTCGCCCGCCATGTTTGACGGTTCTGAGACGACGACCAATGACAAGATCAACGATAATTTATTCTTTAGCTGCTGCTGCGGCCAAGGCGGGCAGTATCTGTGGCGCCAAGTGTGCGACTGCCAAACATCTGCGTATACGTGCAACTCGACATGCCTTGTCAATGCCCTGCGGGAGAAGAACCGCTACTACTATGCGGCCCAGGACTTGTACCACAATGTCACGGCGCTGTATCCCCATGCCGAGATCTGGATGGCGGGCCATTCTCTGGGCGGTGCCGTGTCTTCGTTCCTGTCTCTGACGTTCGGGCATCCAGCCGTGACGTTTGAGGCGGTGCCAGAGGCTATGCCAGCCTCGCGCCTGGGCCTCCCAGTACCACCGGGCCATCAGATTGGGTCGCTGCAGCAGCGGAAGTACACGGGAGGGTTTCACTTTGGACACACGGCAGACCCGATATATATGGGCACGTGCAACTCGGCCACGAGTGCGTGCACAATCGGTGGATATGCCCTGCAGAGCGTGTGCCATACCGGACGCAAGTGCGTGTACGACACGGTCAGAGACTTTGGGTGGCGCGTGGGCATTGGTACACACAAGATTGTGGAGGTGATCCGAGATGTGGTTCTCAAATACGACACGCCGCCAAAGTGCGAGGCATATGTCGACTGCACCGACTGCTTTATGTGGGAGTACTTTGAGAGCAACGGCACCGAGACAACAACGACGAGCTCGAAGCCTACAGCGACATCGACGTCAAGCCGAACCACGCGGACAAGGACAGAAACGTGCAAGACACCGGGGTGGTGGGGATGCCTGGATGAATCAACGACAAAGCAGCCACATAGCAAGACGACGGTTACAACAACAGTCACAACAACAACGTGCAAGACGCCAGGGTGGTTTGGATGCAAAGATGAGGTGACAAAGACGATGACGATGACGTATACCACGACGGCAGCGCCCGTGCCCTCTGTGACTACGACCTCGTCTGCACCTACTTCAACATCGTCGTGCAAGTATCCTGGCTGGTTTGGCGATTGTCTCGATGGCGATGATCCACCTACCAAGACACACCACAAGCTCAAGTCCAAGTTCAAGCCAACGCAGACGTCAACTTGGACGCCAACACCTACGGCGACCAGCACATCGTGTACTTCCGAGGGCTTCTTTGGACTCATTTGTTACGACAAGACTACAAAGCACAGGACAAGCACCTCGGCAGAAGCGACAAGGGAGAGGATGGAGATGTAGCGGTGTGGGTGGGTGTTTGAAGGCAGGGTAGGGCAGGGCAGGGCAGGGCAAAGGAGGCGGCGGTTGAGACTAGCGGACGGATGCTTTTGTTGTTGAGTGGCTTGTTGTGTTGTCGAGGCGGAAAGGGGAAATTATGATATCCTGGCGTTTTTGTTTTATTTTTCATGAGGGGAAGGAGTATAGCGTCTTGTTTTGTTTTGCTCTTTCCTTTGTTGTCTGTGGGGGGTTGGGGGGAAGGAGCAAAGACGCATTTGCATTCGGCGTGATTCGCGTCTTTTTCCCGATGGCAATAAAGCATGGCAATGAAGAATAGCATGGCAGGCTATGTATGTAGAGTATAGTACGAGTAGATATGGAATGTCATGGTTGCATGATGTGTGGCGCATGCTCAGCTTGCAAGGTGCACATGAGGGCCGTGTTTGAGGAGGGTGGCACAGGCACAGGGACGGAGAAGTAGTGGAGGTGGGTTGGGCTCTGCTTCTAGTTCAGCCGATAGCCGCTGTTCTGACGCAAAACAAGGCACCAGGGTGGTGCTGCGGCGGCGGCGACAGAGTGTCAGGGCAAGGCAGGGAGGCAGGGAGGCAGGGAGGCAGGGCAGAGAGGTGTTGAGCAAGTCACGCGCATCTGGAGTCGGTGGCACAGTGCGAGTGGGCGTCGTCGTCGTCGTCGTCGTCGTGACTGGCAATATCTCTTAGACTCCACCCAGGTGCAGGCCAGGGCGGCCCTGGATGTTGATTTTTGTCATGTCGTCACTTCTGGGTATTTTTCGGACTTTATTTTTTTCCTGCCCTACCGTCGCAAGCGGGCTAGGCACACGAGCCGGGCAGTTGGGGCTGGAGGGCTTGGAGAAGGGCCATGTGCATGCAAGCAGATACATGTGTACTTGTGTGCTAAGTATGTAAGTACATATGCACTGTCGAGGTGCAGGCAGGCCTGGGTGCTTGGGAGCTAGGGGTAGGGCGAGGATGTGCAGTAGATGAGAGCGGGCCGAAGAGCAGCAGTGATGGCGACAGGGATGGTGGGGAGGGGACGAGGGGACGAGGGGACGAGGAGGAGGGGGCTTTTTGGATTGGCGGGTGACGTTCCCTGCGTGACGAACTGGCGGTCTGGCGGCGGGCAGGCGATGCAAGAGAGGGAGAGATGGGCGGACGAGGCAAATACTCAAGGTCTGGGCCGCGACAATCACTGTTTCCGGCGAACCATGATGCTCCCACCGCGAGCCTCCCTCTCCCCACCTACCCTTTTCGACATGCTCTAGCACCCTCTCCGGTGGCCGATCACCAACATCCAAAGCCTCCCTGTCGGGTATGGGTGCCGTCGTCTCGTTGTTGTCATCGTCATCATCATTGTCACTACTGCCGCCTGTGCTGCTGCTGCTTACTCGCACTCGACAAGATTGAGATGGCACTTTTGCTGTCGTCGCCGCCGGGTCACCTGCCCCAGACTCGTCGTCGTCTCGTCGTTGTCACTGCACACGCACACGCACACGCGCACATGCTACTTACGCACACACACATACACACGCCCTCACTCGTCCTCTCTCCCTCACCCACGCACCACCCACACCGTACGCACGGCCGGCGTGATACGCTGAGGCGTCGAGCGGGTGCAAGGAGCGTCGAGCAGCCGTTGGCATGGCTGTCGGCGCTAGAATGTCCAATGTCGCAATGGACAGGGGCGACAGGGCGGTTTTAGCTTGCGATGGTCGGGCCCAGCGTAGGCGAGCTAGCCCCCTCGCTGTGCCTTGGAAACTGGCTCTTTTCCTCGATGCCCCATAAGATGCTCGATCGCCGATACATCTGTATTTCCCTCTGCTCTGCATCTCCTCCCATCTCTCCGCCCTTTGCCCAGCGTCCTGCCACTGCCACGCTCCGCCGGCCTTTTTCCGCTCTGCTCGGCCTTTTTTGTTTTTGGCCACGCCTGCCCCTCAGCCCTATCCTCCGCCAGTCACGGGATCACGCTCGCCTCGCTCTCCCACGTCCCTCTGCGCGTTCTCGACAAAGGTCCCTGCATTCGGCCTACGCCCGCCAACTTTTTGTGTCTTGACGCTAATCGCTACTGCGTCACCTTCAAACCCGTCGTCCCTGGCCCGCTTTCAACCACCACCACCACCACCACCCTGCTGCACTGCTCCAAAAAAAGGCCCTTCTTGTAACGGTTGCACCACAAACCGTTCTCCGAGTTAGAGACCTGTGCCTGCCCCTCCCGACCGTGTCTGTGTGCCTGTCTGTGTGCGCGCGCGCGTGCTGCCAAATCACTTTGCCTCACTTGGCCCCCTTGCCTACGTCATAACGGCACTCCCCACCCTGCCCACTCCTACCTCTTCAACCACACACAGCCGCTCAACACGCCCATTTCGACTACTACTTGCTGTTTGGTCCTAACCCCCTCCTCTAATTTCATGCCCCTTCGTTCTTCCTCCCCGCCCTGAAGTTGCTTTGTTTCTTTTCCTTCCCACGTTCACGCCTCGTTCTGACGCGTGCGCACGGTCGCACGCCATGTCCACACCTGTCCTGTCGCCACGCCCGCGTGGTCCCTCACACTCACATACATCTTCTCGCCCCCGCGGTTCGGGATCGACACCAATGACCAGGCCAACAAACCCAATGCACTCGTCCAACACACTGCCGCCGCTAACCCCTCGCATGAATGGCATCGCAAAGACGCCCAGCCATGTCGCTTCACATAAGCCAAAGGAGCCATCCACCCCTTCACCAAATTACTTTGGCCTTGCCGTCAGCAATACCGACCACTTCTCCTCAAGCGCTGCACAGCACATTCGCGGTAACTGGAGTCCGCCTAATTCCAATGTACGCTCCACAGCCGCTGCCTCTCCAAGGATCATTCCTGTCGAACAGAACCCCGAGTTTGAACAGTTTAAGAAGCAGTCGGAAAACAACCGCGCATTTGCACTTGGCAGCTTTGACTTTGCATCGCCCGGCCTGAAAGCTGCATCCAAGAACTCCTTCTTCGCCAACTTCGAGTCCCCACAGCTATCGTCTTCGCAGTCAATGCCTCCGTTCGAGCGAACGGACAACAAGAGTGATACAAGCGACGACCAAGATTTATCACCCAAGCCACGCTCGCCCAAGCGCATGCTGTCCGAAGAGTCCTCTCTGTTTCCCGACCGACCGCGACGAAATTCGCCCGCCAGCTTCGACGGCCCTGGGCGCTCAGATGCTGTAGCACAGTTTGCTGAACCGCGCATGACACGGCCATCACTGCCCTACAATCAATCATTCATCTCACACCTTTCAAAGTCGAGCCGCTCCGAGACACTACCTGCAACTTTTGAGGAAGGATCTAGCACCGATGGCCCTACTATGACGACCCCCCAGCACGTTGTCAACATATTACAATCATCAGCCGAAGAAGTTCTTCTCCTCGATCTCCGTGTTTCGACGCAATACGCAAAATCTCGCATCACGGGCGCCCTAAGTTTATGTATCCCCACCACCTTGCTCAAGCGTGCATCTTTCAATGTCCAAAAACTTGCTGAAACATTCAAGCAAGACGACCAAAAGGAGCGTTTCGACCGTTGGAGAAGCTGTAAGCATATCATTGTTTACGACGCCAATTCCTCGCAGCTCAAGGATGCAACGGCATGCGTCAATACTCTCAAAAAGTTCACTACCGAGGGATGGTCGGGTGGTACCTTTATCATTCGTGGGGGATTTCAGGAATTCTCGGCAAGATTCCCGTCTTGGATCACGTCTCAGGGCTCGGGAAGTCCAACGTCTGGAACGGCCGCTCTCAGCCTCAACTCTGATCTGCCGGCTGTTGCACCTGTTATTGGCGGCTGCCCCATGCCTGCAACGCAGAACGCGGCAAATCCTTTCTTTGGCAACATTCGGCAAAATATGGATTTGATCGGCGGTGTCGGACAAATGCCCGTGAAGCTGCCTGCAGGCATGACCCAGTCAGTCCAAGAAGACCTCCCTAGGTGGCTGCAAGCAGCCTCAAAACCCCAAGACAAGGGCAAGACCGTTGCCGAGCGTTTTCTGCAGATCGAAAAGCGCGAACAGAAGCGAATGCAAAAGGCCCTGTCTGGCCAAGTCGTCTATGATGCGCCCTCGTCCTCGGGCACTAGTCCGTCTGAACACATACAAATTGCAGGAATCGAAAAGGGATCGAAGAACCGCTACAACAACATCTGGCCATATGAGCACACGCGTGTCAAGCTTGAGGGTGTCGCCGAGGGAAGCTGTGACTATGTCAATGCCAACCACGTCCAAGCCGCATATTCCAATAAGCGTTATATTGCAACGCAGGGTCCCATTCCGGCTACCTTCAAAGTAAGTGGTTTACTAACACGGGTGCATACTATCAGAGAGTTGACTTGTTTGTTCAGGACTTTTGGAACGTAGTGTGGCAGCAAGACGTTCGCGTCATTGTCATGCTTACCGCCGAGCAAGAAGGCGGACAGGTCAAGGCTCACAATTACTGGTCAGAGAAGCAATACGGGCCATTGCATCTCAAAAGCCTTGGCGAACGCAAGGCATCTCTAGAGCCGTCCAAGATCCACCGTCACAGGGAGCAGTCTAGACCATCAATCGGCCAGCGACGGTCAACCAACCCGCCCAGGCTTGCCAACTTCACTGCGGAAGCAACCGCCGCACCCACCAGTCAGGAGCAGCCGTACGTCACTGTCCGTAAATTCACTCTCTCAAACGATGACGAGCCATTTGCGCGTATGCGTGAGATTACTCAGCTTCAATATTCTCACTGGCCCGATTTTGGTGCGCCAGCCCATCCCGCCCATCTTTTGGGTTTGGTTGAGCAAACAGATGCTGTCGTGCGCTCCGTCAACGGAGGCTCACCTTCACAGCCCGACCCGCCTAACACACGCCCTATCCTTGTACACTGCTCTGCCGGATGTGGACGTACCGGCACATTCTGCACTGTAGACTCGGTCCTGGACATGCTTAAGCGGCAACGACAAGCTCGCCATATGAGGCAGACCAACAACAATTCCAACAACAAAACATCCGAAAAGGAAGTAAAAGACGATGAATGGGTCAACAACGAAGACATGGACCTGATTGCCAAGACGGTGGAAGATTTCCGTCTCCAGCGTCTCAGCATGGTGCAGAGTTTGCGACAGTTTGTGCTCTGCTATGAGAGCGTCATGGAGTGGCTTGTGGAGCAACACCCCAAGTCTGCGTAGAGCGCGACAACACCAATCGTGGCCTGGTATGACGGGCAAGACGATTGTTCGCCCACAATTATGACATGGACATGAGAATACGAATTTGAAATTTGGTGATGAGGGAGCAATGGGCGGCGCATGTATCTTGTTCATCTGGGCTGTGGCAAAGGCAAAGCTCATTGGGAGGCGTTTTTTCTCTCGTCTTGTCTTATCTTGTCTTCTCTCATCCTGT